CTCTGCATCCCCCCCCTCCCTCTCACCCCCCCCCCCCCTGCTCTAAAGATGTTATAATCTTGCAAGTGTTAATTTTGACTAGTTCTAGCATAGACTTGGGACAGGAAAAAGCCTGTTTTAGGGCTGCTTGAGTCTGGATCTTGTGCAATGTGTGGGAGTTGTGCTCCAGCTATTTTTCTGGTAAGTATAGCAGAAAGAAAGGCAGGGAGAGTGGGCAGAGCTTAGACTCTGCTTATTTTTGTGCTAGCAAACAGCATAGCTCTGGCAGAGGAAAAAGGATTTAAAGTGTTGAGCTGACATGTTAAAACCATGGGCAGCTCCTGACAGCATTTTCTCTCTTAGAAATATCACAGACATATGAGAAGTTGGTCAAGAACATGGGCTGCTGCTTACTGCCCTTTTGACTGGAAAGAGTTGATACCAACAGAATAAAAATAGGAGAAAGAAATTAGATGCAGGACAACTGCAGAAGCTTTAGGGGCCTTAGAGTCCTTGTGTTCCAGGTCTGCTAGCCCTGCAGAAGCTCTGTCTCATTTAATGTGGTTAGGCAGTCTCCTATATGACAGCCCACCTGCGTGGCTGCTAAGAAGCTTTTACGAAGTGCACTTTATGTGGCTGGTCATAAACTCTGCAGTGCTCTTACAACGGCACAATATTTACTTGTTGGAATTGTTGGGCCAGCTGGACCATTATGTATACAGCCGCGTGCCTTCCCAGAAGTGGGTAAGGTGTGTGTTTTCACATCCAAGGAAGCTTTGCTTGGAGTGCAACTCTACCGTGACTGTTTCAGTGGCTTCTCTCCCCCTTGACTTTGTGTACAGAAGGAGAGGTGTTCCGTGTAACTCAGCCAAAAATGGCCCAACTCTGCTCTACATAAGTTTCAAAGGATCAGTAAGTTTCACAGCTGCACTTACTTAGTGATAAATGGTGATAAACACTAGCTGAGGTAGCTGTTGTCTGTTAAGACAACATCCTTGTGTCTGTTGGCTCCTGTTGTCTCTTATTCTGCTCTTTGCACTGATGGCATCTGCCACATCCACTGTTGTCTCAGTGCCAGCTGACCGCATGATCTAGCCATCCGATCGCTTTTCGATGATAAATTGCTGTATCTGCTGCTGGCTGCATATGGCAGGTCAGTAGCATTGCCTGGTTACGTGTGGTGAATCTGCATTGCAGCTACCGTTTTCTAAAGAATGTACCTGAGGAGACTTAAGAAAAAAGAGGGGAGGGGGACCCCACACACAAATGAAATAATGTTGGTGGAAAACTAGAGGAGTCTTTAGTCCTCAGCTCTGTAGCCTAGTTCAGCTGAGGGCACAGGAAAGCTGGGCAAACACAAATGAACTGCCAAACTTCGAAATTAGCCCACCTCATCCATCCCTATTTCCTTCCGTTGCGGGGAGGTTGAAAATCTCCATGAAGAAAAATGATGATCATTGAGTCACTCCAATAGCTGTGATCCTGGCTGCCTGTGCCTGCCAGCCTGCTACACAACTTGTGTGCTAATGTTTGGATTTTAGTGGTGGGAAACAAATGTCAGGCTGTACTCTCTTCATGCACCATTGGGCTGTGCTTATGGTCAGTCTTGACAGCACCAAATGATTAAATGGATAAAACCATCAGTCTTTTTATTTCCAAACATTAACCTAACTGCTAATAAAGTACAACCTGTGTCATCCTTATGGACTCTGCAGAGCTGAGTCACATTAAAAACAGGATCTGAGTGCTGGAAAAAGCCTCATAGTTCTTTCCTGTGCTGAGAGGCAATATCTCCCTGTGCGCAGAGCTTGCCTTGGAGAGCTTTGCCTTGGGG